TGCTAGCCCCCGGAGGCCACCAGCCATAGTCGTGGACGCGCGAAGAGCAATCCGCATAGAGGGAAGTGTTCAGATACTTCTCCATCAAGAAAAATTATGAAAAAAATTACCATCGGTCCTATAGCACATGTGCCCACGTCGTGTAAATAACTCATGATTTTATCGCGCTCCGAGTATTTAATAATATTCACGCCGCATCGTTTCCGCAGAACGTCTACTACCGTGTCATCGCCGTCCGTGAGGGGGGCCACACCCCAGAGACGTGTGCCGCCTCTTCGGACATGCCACCACGCCACCCCGCATGTATGAGGGCCCGGGGCGACGCTCCGGTGGCATTGCTACACCCCCCAGGGCCCCCGTCCCGCCTAACCTTGTAGCGTTTGACCACGGGATCTAGCCCTTTGACTTTGCATGGACGGGCTTTGACCAGTGGACCTCTCCACCCGGTTGTGTGAGGTCAGCCCATAGGAACACTTTGGAGCAACATCCGGGCCAGACCTACAGCAAGATCCCCTCCGTGTAGACCCGACGCCTCCGTTTCCCCCCTCTAGGTGCCGGCGGCGGCACCGTCCGTGAGGGGGGGCACACCCCGGAGACGCATGCAGCCTCTTCGGACATGCTACCCCACTCCACCCCGCATGTATGAGGCCGGGTGCGACGCTCGGGTGGCCTGCCTAGTCGGAGTGGTCGAGCACGTAATCCTCCCCCTTGGCTACTTGACGATGACTCCTCATAGGGAGGTCGAGGGAGAGGTGCCCCTAGAGGAGGAGGGGCAGGGGGAGAGCCTCTAGAGGGCAAGGTGGTGGGGGGAGAGCCACTACAGGGGGTCGCGGCCAGAAAGAGCGCACCCTCACCGACTTAGGGGTGTTGTCTTCGAGGCCCTCCTCTAGTGAGGTACCCTCTAGGGAGGAGGAGGATGAGGAGGTGGAGGAGGAGGAGGAGGAGGTGGAGGAGGAGGCAGGCGAGGAGGAGGTTGGGGAGGGGGAGGCAGGCGAGGAGGAGGGTGGTGAGGGGGAGGCAGGCGAGGAGGAGGGTGGTGGCAGGGATGATGGTGGTGACGGGAAAGGGGTTGACAACAAGGGGTGGCTGCGTGGTAACGCAAAGCTACCAAAGCAGGTTCCTGCTACTGAGGAGCAGAAGTGGCTCATTGAGTCCACGGGGAAAGAGTAAGTGCCACTTTGTAATAATTTCATTATTTTGCTTGTCACATGCTTATTCCGGTTGTTATTTATTTTGCTTGTCACATGCTAATAGTACTGTATATATTCTAAAGGGGTCCGTATTCCCAACGGCCTGATCACCGTCTTGCTGAAGTTATACTGGCCGGGGTTGTACTGTCCGGATCCAGTCAGGCAGCCGGACCGTCGGGTTTTGGCCACGAGCTGCACTGGGAAGCGGCCCTCCACGCGGACCATGAGACCCATGCCAAGGCCGTGATCGCTACTTTCTGGGTGAGTTCTCTTCAGAAGCACAAGTCCATTCTAGTTTCATGAATGATTTAACTCATGGCTTCTTCCATTCTTGTTTCATGCATGATTGTAGAAATTCTATCGAGTTCTTCCGGAGCACAAGGCCAGAGCGAACCAGATCGTGTTGCGCCAATGCAAGAAGAAGGCCCGCCAGATGCAGTACGAGGTGCGCCATGTGGCCATCTCGACATACTACCACGACGTTCTTGGTGTGAAGATGACCAAGGAAGAAGCGCGGAGGATGGGCATTACCGTGGAGAGGCCCTAGTTCTTGGCGGTAAGTATAAAAGATTTTTCATTATGCTTTCATTACCTTGTGGTACATTTCACCGTTTCGTGTTGACATGTCATTATGCTTTTATTATGTAGGTGTGTCCAAATTGGTGTTATGGAAAAGACGAGTCCTGGGCGGCATTGGTGGATCTTTGGTGTGATGAGGCTGGAGCCTGGGCGACTATGAGAATCTAAAATAAGGCTAACAGAGGGAAGGAGGGAGTACATGCTCAGGGAAACCGAAACCACTATCTCCACAAGGTAGTTAATGTATGACTAATCCCATTAAACATTCTTCTTCTTCTATTTACCATCACTTTCTTATGTATGACTAACCTCTGTTTGGTGGTGCAGGAGGAGAAACTGAAGCGGCCACTCTCACACATGCAGGCGTGGGAGATCGCCCATACGCGGAAGGACTCCAAGCCTGGCGAACCCAAGTACTACGGCAAGAAGACCGCGGGGAGGAAGAAGTCCTACTCCGAAGCGTATCTGAAGTTACATCCTGACACACCTGACCCCATTGCGGCAGATCTGGACGAGGGGGCGGTGGTGAGCATGGGGCCCAAGGAGCACGGTCGGGAGGCGGTTCTCGATGCTGTGATCACTCCTACTATCTCCTACACACAGCTCCGTCGGATCGACTCGAGCCTGAGCCAGCGCACGAGCCAGCCAGTGACCAGTGCACAGTCCCTCTTTCAGGAGCAACAATCTGTAAGTATTTTCTCTCTTATCTTCATTGCTCACTTTATTTTCCGCATTTAGTAGTTTTATGAGTTTCATCATGTCATACCGTAGGCCTACCTGGAGTACACACGCCAGGAGACCATGGCGTGGCATGAGAGGCTTTATGAACACCAAGTGCAGAGGGATCGCCAGATGCAGCAGGCTTTTCAGGAAATGGCGACCGACAGGTGTCCTCAGTTGCAGCCAGCACAATGTCCTCCAGCACAACCAGTGCTGCTGACTTTTGAGGAGTTTGTGGCACAGAACGCTAGCCCCTCACCGGTTAGTTCATCCCCAATCTATTCACCCAAAGCATGCCATGCCTTTCAACACAGTCATATATCCCGTTAATATGTCTTTTCAACATCCAGGGAACATGTGGATCTACCGTTGGCGGTGGTCTTCGCAGCACTCCCGAGACACGGAGCCCGACCACTCCGATCCACGGAGGCGGAGGCGGAGGTGGAGGCGGTCTTGGCGGTAGCGCTGCCGCTAGCAGTGACGACCTGGGCTTCGGCGGTCTTGGCAGTGACGACCTCCGCGGTGCTCGACGTCCTGGCGCTTAAGCCTTTGGGTCACATTGTGGTTGTCTTGGTGGTGATGATACTTATATGCTAGTGATGTTTCTTATTGTTGTTTGTGAGATTCTTATATGCTTTGGTGGTGATGATACTTATATGTTTATGCTTTGTGATGCTTCTTATGATGTGTGATGATGAATTTGTTGTGTGATGCTGCTCCTTATTGTTATGTGATGCATATATTGCTGTATGATCCTTATATATGTTGTATATATTCAAATGAATTGAGCTGAAACAAAACAAAAAAAAGAAAAAAAAACAGGCAGAAGCTATGCCGATGGCTAGGCCGTCGGCATAGAGCTGGCGTGAGCTCCCAGTGGCTGACACGCGGCAAGCCTAGCCATCGGCATAGTTTCAAACTAAGCCGACGGCCAGGCTGTCGGCATAGCCCTGCCCTAGGAGAGCCCAGTTGCTGCCACGTGGCAGGTCTATGCCGACGGCCTGGTCGTCGGCTTAGTTTGAACCTATGCCGACGGCCAGGCCGTCGGCATAGACCTGCCCCAGGGGTGACGCCTGCTCGCCACGTGGCACGTCTATGCCGACGGCATAGTTTCAAACTAAGCCGACGGCTAGGCCGTTGGCGTAGACTTGCCACGTGGCGAGCAGGCGTTGGTCAGAACTTGACGGCGGCCGCTGTTAGGAGGTAACGTTGCCGACGGCCGGGGCCGTCGGCATACATGTATGGACACAGTCAGGATAGGTCCTATGCCGACGGCCTTTCTATGCCGACGGATATGTTGCCGACGGCCCTATGCCGACGGGAGCCGTGGGCATAGGCCTGTCCCGACGGCCAATCAGGGCTATGCCGACGGCCAGGGCCGTCGGCATAGGGTGCGATTCCGGTAGTGTGCGTTACAGCATATGATTTACTTCATGACACAGTGAGAAATAGAAGATTAACTTGAGACCATAGTACGAACTGAACTCTGACATCATAGTTTACGAGTCTGGAATAAACATCGAGTCCGAAAGAAAGCTGTTTCAAATAAACAAATGGCAAGGCAAACGCAATGTGCTCGACTGTATTGGTTGGAAAAGAAGTTGCACCGGAGATGGAGGCACGCACAACTGAGTACATGTCGACGAAATTTATTAATGCAATGTGCTAACTGCAATGCCCCATGTGAATTGCTCAGTTAAATGTTACAGAAGAAGAAAACATAGTTCATCCAACTAGAGAAGTTGCACATATTACTACGGTAGTGGGTTGCTTGCTAATCTGTACCACATTATATGAGACCTTGTCTTTTCCAAAAATAGGAGACCTTGTACGTGGCAAGCGAAAGTAACTACTGATCCTATGTGCTTATTCACCATAAGTAACTAAGGTGAAAATCACATTGCAGTTCTGTTGGCATTCCAGAATTTAGGTAAGACATATACAAATGTGGATTGTCGAAGTAAAAACACTAGTACTTTTTTAATACTGAGCCAGACTGCCTACTGTTTTAAAGCTGAGCAAGCTATCAATGTCAAGAGCGTTCAACCGGTCAGCTTAGTAAGGAACCAACAAACAGAAAATGTGGAGAGCGTTCACATTAGGATCAAGCAAAGAAGAAATTCCTACTCGACGCAACTGTCTGCAAAATTGCAGCTCGAGTTAAACGGATCACATACAAACAAAGAAAATAAAAGAGCATGCATTTTTACCAAGAAAGCTGTATGCATTGTTACTGGATCAGATACCATTTTCATTAATCAGAACGACCATACCAGAGCCGAACTGATACTTTTTTGCTGCCTATTCGTTGCGTGTTGGCTGATGCAAATAATAAGGCCTTGCAACCCAAGTCAAGCATAAAGATTCTCCTCATTATGATCGCCTTTGTGCAATTCCTCACCTAGAGTCGTCACTTTGGTGACACACACACACAGCAAACCGGCAGCATGACTGCTATGGCAAACGCAACTACCAATACCATGCATCCCGAGCTGCTGGAGGCGGCGTGCCATGCATGGCAGCTGCCGGGAACTGACGAACCTTCTGAACGGAGGAGCGGCCAACGTGCCTATTGAGGTCGTCGTCGACATCGACCGCCCCGGGCGCTCAGCAGCGTCGTCCTTGCTCCTGGAAGGGGTAACCCCAGACGGGGACTCCGCACTCCACATCGTAGCAGCCTACGGGTACCAGATGAAAGCCAGGGCGGTCTACGACAAGGCACCACACCTCTTGGGCGCACGCAACAGCGGCGGCAGGACGCCGTTGCACTGCGCCGCTAGAGCCGGTCATGCCCCGATGGCCGCTCTCCTCATTGAGCTGGCCAGAGGGGAAGAAGTCGCCGGTGAAGATGGGAGGGTGGAGACGCTGGTGAGGATGCAGAACGAGCTCGGGGAGACAGCCCTGCATGAGGCCATCCGCGCTGGTCACATGCTCACGGTGGCTGAGCTGATGACGGCGGACCCGTTCCTCGCTCGCGTTCCGGAGAACGGAACCTCGCCGTTGTTCCTCGCCGTCTCTCTGCGACATGAAGAAATTGCGCGGGAGCTCTACGAGAGGGACAAGAAGTTGTCATACTCCGGGCCAGATGGACAGAATGCTCTTCATGCCGCAGTTCTTCGAAGCAGAGGTACCTGACTTCTATGCCACTCTGTTGTGATCATAAAAATGATTGTATTTAATTTGCTACTCCCTCCATCCCAAAATAAGTGTTGTTGATCTAGTACAAAATTTGTACTAATTTAGTATTAAATCTGCGACACTTATTTTGGGACGGAGGGTGTATATATGAGTACAATACAACTTAACATTTTGAATGTAAGATAATTGTATTTACTTAGCATGTCAGATATGCTAGAGCATTCTTTTCCTCTTCTACATGATCAATCCAAATGTACCTTTCACACGGCTTTTTGCATATTTCACTGTTTGACACAGAGAGGACCAAATTGCAGATATGACAGAATTACTAATGAACTGGAACAAGGAGCTTACTAAAAAGCGAGATCAACTTGGAAACACACCTCTACACTTTGCGGTATCATTAGAAACGGGCACACGTGGTATGCTTCCCCAATATGCCGTGCCAGTGGTAAACGGGACTAGTATCACAAGTTTTCTGAACGTAGTGGAAACACCAATGGACCTTACCATGCAAATATTGGAGGCAGATGCATATTCAGCATATCAACCGGATGAGGAAGGATCATTCCCCATACATGTCGCTGCTTTAGCAGGGAGACTTTCATCTGTCATCATCTTACTTTTAAAGTGTCCAGGTTGCGCCAGCCTACGTGACACCCGTGGGAGAACTTTTCTCCATGTTGCTGTCATGAAGAAAAGATATGATATAGTTCGGTATGCCTGCCAGACACCCATGTTTTCATCAATTATGAACAAGCAAGATAATGAAGGAAACACTGCACTACATCTAGCTGTGGAGGTTGGGGATTGGTGGAGTTTCGCTTGTCTCTTCGCAAACAAAGAAGTAGATTTGAATCTACCAAACAACAAGCAACATACCCGGCGAGAAATTTTAGTTAGCAGTACTAAACTACTTCCATTCCTTTCATTCGGTACTTTATTTTCTAGATTCAGAGGAAAAAATAGGAAGTTGATAAGTTGATATTGCTTCTTTTTTTCTGATCTGCAGCACTCGCGGATTTTGATACAACAAGCTCTAATATCTGCCGATGCTACACTTCATATTTGTCGGCGGGATATCATGAAAAAAGGACCTAGTACCCAATCTGATGATAAGATTGACGCGGTAATATCAAACTCAACACAATTTCTTGGCCTTGGCTTAGTATTAATTACAACAATGGCTTTTGGTGCTGCTTTCGCCTTACCTGGGGGTTACAGAGCTGATGACCACCTTAAGGGCGGCAAGTCGGAGTGCAGGCCGTTCGCAACTACTCCTGGGATACTATCTTCATGCTTTATGATGAAATTAAACAGTGTTAGGAAAAACTTTAAAATAAATAATGTGTACATTGAACCCCTCTCTGGTCTGAAAAATGTTCGGATGCAATAGCAAGTCCAAGTTCTACTCAAAGAAGTAGATGATGATACAGATTGGTACATTGAAACAACACAGCTGAACTCCCGATTTGTTTGATGAAACTATTTGATGAACCAGCATGACAAATACATAGAGACAGAGAAAACAAGGACCAAGCGATACAAATATACTGAAATTTCACGAACTGAATGTTGACGTGTCTCGAATAAAAATGAGTTTGCAGCTAGCTGCTACCTGCTAGGAACAAAGCAATGCAGTGAGTGGTTAAAGTAGATAAACAACCCAGCAGTACTCAGACGCTGGTTCTTGAATCGCTGGACGGAAGCAAGAAGAAGATTCAGACATTAGTGGACAGATTGAGAGCTTCATCTCGTTGCTGGAGGAAGACGGATCAGACGGCAAGGTGAACACAGACGCAGTCCTCTAGACTGTCTTTGGTTGGAGCGGAAGCAGGACGGGAGTCGGAGGCTCTTGCACGGTCGAGTCCATGTCATCGAAATTTATGAGCACTACTGCGATGTGAAAGAATTACATGTCAATGTCTCAGTTGAATGTTCCAGAAACAAAAACAGAGTTCACTCAAGTATAGGAAAATGGAAAATTATATGCTACAGTAGTGGTGAATTTGCTTTGCTAATCTGTGCCACCTACGCACCATAAGTAACCAAGGCGAAATTCACATTTCATTTTTCTTTGAACTTGAAGCAGACGGCCACGTAAGCTCTTCTTGAACTTGCTAGCAGAATAAAACATGGTAAAGGAGATGCTGCGGAATGGTACCTGTCTGCAGTATTTTGATGGCTCGAGCCCTTGATCTGAAATTGAAAAGAGAAGAAGGAAGATGAATGCTAAACACTTGCTGGATGAACATTTAATTGAGAAATAGAGAAATTGAGAAATAGAGAGAGGAATGACCATTTAATTTGCCACGTGGTGGATCACAGCACAGGGATGGGAAGAAGCGCATGCATGATGCCTCGAGGTGCAGTTGTGTACCTTCTCCGACCGATGTGCCCTCAGGGAAGGAGGATACGAAGGTCCGGGCAGTTGGGATGGTCACTCGCTGCAGCCCTCAGCGCAGCCTCTGCTTCCTTCACCTCTGAATCGCTGGATTCAGTACGGTGAAGGCAGACCTCAACGATCTCGAGGGAAGGGAGGTGCCCCATGCCCAAATCCATGTCGTCACGGCTGATCCACTTAGCCGGGAATGCTGACGGCATCACAGGAATATGAATGAAGGATAAGTTGGTCACACATGGGAAGGCATCAGAGGTAAGGAACATCACTGCGGAACTGAAGCAGAAAGCGGAACAACCAGAGCTGGAAATTATTGTGACGCCCTTTCTTGATAAGCTCTTGGTGATATCCACATTGAACCAGAGATAACGAAGAGTGGGCAGCATCCCAAGAAGCTGAATATCCTCTGGTCGCAGTTCAAGGCCCAGTGCAACAACAACATAACAAAGACCAATAGAAGTGATGGGAGTTGACGGGGTTGGGCTGGGGTGCACACCAATAGAGAATATGTAATGGAACAAAAAGCGACCAACAATCAGCGGGCCTGGGCGGGGTTTGTATTCTCAGCAGGTGGGCTGATGTCATACTTAGAGCCCTAGACACACCCTATCAAATAACTAGAACAATTGATTTTCGTGTAATGGTGATTAATTAGGGTCTCTGCAAAGTTGCACCCATGTGCTTGAAAGGTATATATACTTAAAGAAATGACATCCCACGGTCAGTCAAGCTCTGACGGGCCGAAACATATAAAGAGCTTCACTTGTTTTCTCCTGAGTCCTGATCTTGCTTTGGCTAACACTAACAAAAGGGCCCGTGCATTGCAATGGGAGAAAAAAAAATCATAATCTCCAAAGGCCATGACAGCATTTTCCTGCATTACCGATAAGATTTTGTTCAATTTCATTAACATTTTTTAATACTCAAACATTTTCTAAAAATAATGAACATTTTTTGATTTCCCAAATGTTTATTTCAATATTGTGAACCTTTTTAGAATATGCGAACATTTTTTGAATCCACAAACATTTTTTGATTAATTGAAAATTTTATTTATTTTTTTAAATTTTAGGACATATTTTTAAGGCCTAAATTTTTTAAAATAGAAAAAACGAAAATAGAAAAGAAAGATAAAAACGAAATTTAAAACAGGCCACCAGCACATGGACCGGCCCAAACTGGTGCACTGCATCTTGTCCCAGCACGCTGAGCACAGTATAGAAGGTCCCTACTCCATGAGCCGGCCCAGGCGGGGGATTCCCATGTGTGAAACACTTTTTTCACTTATAGATGGCATCTGTGGGTAATATTTTACAGTATTGGGGGCAATTTATATAACGTACAGCCAGAAGCACTAATGACTTTATTATTAGGCATAAATACAAAGGAACGATGTCATCTTCATAATTTTGCATTTGTACAAGAGGCAAGCATATCGTTGATATTTATCTTGCATTTATATGTCTCCTAAATTAATGTTCACATTTATATCCCTTTTATATATTGTAATTGTTTCATATTATTGTAGCTTGTATATCATGTTTTTGCGAGTATTGAGAAGCACATAGTTGCACATAGTTATACGTATTTATGGAATATCACATTGATATTCTTGCGCACTTTAAGATAGCACAATAATACTTTATTATTTTACATCTTGTTGTGTTCAAATAAATTAATGTCACACAGGCTATTTCATTAATTTATATGAGCACTATATTCATTTAGTTTGTATCTAGAGTTATGTCTCTTTGCTTACAGTATATAAGCAAGCATGCTATAACTATTTAAAACTAGCAAGATATGCCAACATTAATTCGGGAGAGATACATAAGTGCAAGATCAATAGCTAAGGTGTCATTGCATTTCTCCATAAATACGAGGAAATGATAGGCTTACTTGCCATTTGCAAGCATAGATTTACATATAATTGTAGGATCGTTGGATTGTGACTAACACAACAAATAGCATTACCATACCAACAAATATGAAATGAATGCCATTACTTGATATAATGATATAAAAGAGTGTACCCAATTCATCTGTAGACAACAAGATTTGGCAACAATAATGATAGGAGAAATACATGAATGCAAGATCATTATCTAAGATGCTATTCTAGCTCTCTATAAATAGTAGCTCACCTAGGAGTTTGTATATAGCCGTGATCACATAGGAACATAAGAAAAGGAGAAGTAGAAAAAAGCAATATCTTCGTTCTGATGGCACTTGCTAATAACAGTGCAAGATGGTCGACGGCCATGCTATACATGGCTATTGCTTTCATGGTGTTTTCCATGATGTGTTCTACCTTCCCATCCTGCCATGCAGACACTCGTAAGCCAGTATATACCCCCATTTTTTGTGCACTTTCCTAGTGTTCCAATTAACCAATGCATCACTAATATATCTTGTTTGATTTGTGTATATATGTTGCTTTTACAGAATCTGTTTATCATGTGATCTGTGAGACTCTCAATCCCTGCAATAGCGAGAGGTGTGAAGATCTATGTAGACGCAGAGGCTCACATAACTTCAGACACTATTGCAAGACCCATAATGTGGAAATTCCAAAGTGTTGTTGTATAGAAATACC